TTAGAGCCTTCCTATGCCTCGTATCGCAACCTATACTTCCTAGTTTAGAAGAAGACAGCTCCTAGGGAACTAAAGAAGTACCGTCTAATTAACGCTATATAAAAGTTCAACGCAGTTACGATTAGAGATACTAACCTCCCTCTAGAGACTAATAGGTTCTCGGAAGCTTTTACTAACTGTATTATAGCCTTACTAGTTAATATTTTCTCGGGCTACGACTAGATCCCTCTCTATCCTAATAGCCGCGACCTTACTAGTTTCGAGATACCTCTTAGGCTATATAGACAAACTACCCTTCTATAAGGGGCAACTAACTCCGTAGCCTAGTTCGTTCGTATTATAAACTAAGTCCTCGCAGCCTATATCTCCTATATAGCGATGCCTTTCCTTAACGACATCGGCATTAAGGGCCCTAAAACTAGGTACGACAATAAAGAAGTAGAGCCTAGTATCCGTAGGTTCTTTCTCGAATATATTTAGAACCTCGATAGTGTCCTCTGCGACCTAGAGCGAGCTAACCTAACGGTATATAGGGAGAAGCTCTAGCTCCTATACAAACGAATAAACATTGTCGGGTTTGTAACTAATAAGAACGGCCGCTATCCTAACAATATACGGGTCCTAAAGATTGTGTCCTAGCCCGACCCTACCTATTAGAAAGATGTCCGAGTCTAGCTTAGAGTAGTCTCCTACTTCCGTATCTAGGTCGAAAACTTTGCGTTAGTATATAAGCCTCTATACGCCTTACTTAAGAAGGATATAGAGTTTAAATAGACCTCCGTTTACTAAGCCGCTAAGGACGAGGTTACTAAGGCACTTATTAGCGCGCCTACACTTACCTCTATTAACTACTCGGAAGGCGTAGGTCTACTAATTGTTGCTATCGACTCGAGCGGGGAAGGCTACGGCGAGATACTAATATAGTATAATCGTAAGGAGCCCTCCTTACGTTACCCTATCCGGTACGAGTCCGGTCTATAGAAACCTATCGAGGCCCGATACGATACTAGCAAGCGAGAGTGCCTTAGTGTCTACAAGGCTCTTAAGAAGTTCCGACCTTAGCTCTTTAGAGTATTCTTTCGCCTAGAAGTCGACACTTAGACGCTAGTCTATTAACTTAACCGTATAGCCTCCGACCTGCCTAACTCTACGATAGCTCGGTAGGTTGCCTAGATCTATTTGTTTGATTTCGACGTCTTCTATATTCCTAGTAAGAAGCATACTAGACTAGATAGCCTCTCTAGAAGGCCTACTATAAAAGAAGACATCGCCGAGATAATAGAAGAAGAGGATATCGACGCGGTTATTAACCGCACCTTCTTTACTACCTTCTATATTAACGCTATACCGGTAATTACTAGGTCTACTACCGACGACTAACCTAGTAACTAGCTTAACGAAGACCCTACTACTAACGGCGAGAACTAGGACGACGCTAAGGCGGGCGAACTAGGTAGGGATAATATCCTTAATAGGGTCTACTCCGACGACTCCTATAATATCGCCTATTTCCTTACCTATACAAAGAGAGCTCCTAGTCTGTTAAGGAGTTAATACCGTCGTATTATTCGCTATTCTCAGAGGTTCCTTATTAAAGATCGTATCCTTTAGCGACAGGCTATAATTAATGTACCGCTCTAGCGTATTATTAACGATCTAGTAGCCCGATAAGAAATCCTTCGTTCCGTTTACGATAAGCTCGGCTACCGGGCGGCGGAGGGCACCTTCGATATCCTTCGTCGACGCTACTAGTAGGACGGCGTATAGGCTAATGTCTCTCGCTACTATAAGAGCTGTCCTAAGTGCAACTTTAGGAATAGCTACTAGCGTCTAGGAGAGCTACGTATCCCTACTACCTAGTTAGTTAGGGAGCGGTAGTATAGCGATAGGGTCTATCTTAGCCGCAACAATAGCCTATATATTATTCGAGAGAGTCTTTCTCGATAGCCGGAGGCCTATTATTTCTATAAAGGTTGCGGTGCTATTAATGCCCGTAATATAGCTACCTTCCTATTTAAGGATCTGTTTTGCCGCTAGGGAACACCTTACGAGGTTATCTTAGACAACGCTACGAACAATATAGCTAAGGAGGTTTAAGTGCTACTTGTTTCGTACGGGGCTAAGAACGTTCGTATCTCCCTATACTATCCCTAGTCGAATACTATTGTTAAGCGCGGCTATCGGTCGTTAATTAATGCCCTATCTAAGATAACTAATAGTAGCGACAGATTAGTTCCTATTTCTACCCGCGTCCTAGCCCTTCTCTAGGCGGACCGAACTACTATTATCGATACGACTAGACTTACGCTAGTAGAGCTTATAATTAGAAGGGACGCCGTTCTTCCTATTAAATTGTCCTATCGTACGCACGGCGTTTACGATTAGGGGTCTGTTCGTACTAGGGTAGACCTTCTTACCCTATAGGCTAAGGCTCTTAAGGATATAACTACTACTTCTTAGGAGGGACTTGCTCGACAACGTCGCCTTCGTAAGGAGGCTAAGTAGTATTTCGACGACTATAATACTATTAACTAGGAGCCTCTAAAGGTTAGCGATATAGTCCTTCTATACCGGTCCGAACTAGAGTATAGTTACTCCTATAAGCTAGCCTTTAAGTAGAAGGGTCCTTATAGAGTAAAGGAGGTCCTTTACTCGGGTTCCGTATACCTTCTTTAGGAGCTAGATAGTACTACCTTAAAGCACTCTTACCCTCGGGCTAATCTAAAGAAGATCGTTAAGTTACGCGAACCTGCCTACTCTCCGCCGACCGAGGAGGAAGTTAGTACCTCTACAGACCCTCTACCGTCCTTAGATGCCTATCGGGAGGAGGATCCTACCGCTATTATAGATCCTATTCTGCCTAAGAACTATACCTATCCCTAGGTTCGTCTTAGTAAGCTATTAGGAATAACTTAAGAACAGAGGGAGGGTTATATACGGATTAACTATATATAGAGCGTTTCCGATATTAATTCCGATTCTAATAGTAAACTAGACTTCTAGCTATCTAACTCTAACTCCGAGGAACCTAACTAGTCTAGCGACGAAGACCGCCTAGAATTATAGCTAGATCCCGAGACTAAATAATTGCTTGCTCTTCCTTACCTCTGCCTACCTCTACTACGTTGCTTCCTTGCTCTTATCGATCGTTCTCCGCGCTATTAATACAGTGCCGCCCTATACCTTTAGTCCTTACCTATTGTCTGTTCCTACTAATGTTTATACTCTCGTTTATTGCTTTTAGTTTATCTTATTGTTGTCCTTTACTTTGCCTTTGCTTTCGATTAATGTTGCTATAACTTTATTCCTTTGCTCTTGTTTCCTTAGATAGAACTATACGAGGCGTGTTTTCCTAATAATACCCCGGGGGTAGCATTAGGAAAATAGCCGAACCTAACCCTCCGCCCTTCTAAGACTACTTCCCTCTAGTTTCCTAGTCTCTAGCAACCGCCCTTAGGTAGTAACGACAACAAGATACTCCGCTAGAGAAGATTGTTCCTACCCTAATTAGCATTAGTTACGTAGGATACTAAGAAAAGGGAGGGTCCCTCTCCCTTCCTAGCTCTTAAATAGACGCAGCAAACTAGGCCTATAGCCTCTAAGGATAGGGACCTTAGGCCGCTAAGCTTAGTGTCTAGAAGAAAGAAGAACGTACGGGCTACGTTTATATGCCTGCTACTATAAAAGGTAATGCTGCATCTACAACGATAGTACTATAGGCTAATACAAGCTACGCTAGGCCTAGGCGATTTGCTCCTAGTTGCCGAGCATCTCTAGAGAAAAGCTAATACTATCCCGGGGGTATTATTAGTCCCGCTAGCCTTACTACTATAGATTACTACTAGGTACTCGAACTAACTAGTCGCATTTCGAGTGCGCGGGAATCTACGAAAGCTAGAGGTTAATAAAGGCGCGTAGTCGCTACTAGTAATTAGCTAGATCGATTGTTAAACTTTAGCCGCCTTACTAATAAAGGAGTCTCGTATGTAGCTTTACTTTTTAGGGTCTATATATAATCGTTATCCGTTTGCTTTACCGGAATACACAGACTACGCTACCTTCGCACCCTATTTAAGGCGAGCTTTCTAAGCTCTTTCTTCTACTCGAATACTAACTAACTTACTACCGCCTACCCCCTCCCCCTCCTTCTATCTAAACCCTTTAATTATTATTAACAAGCTACGAACGTTTTTGCAAACTCGTTACTAACTCCTTTCTGCTCCGGTCGACTAAGATGTCTTCCGGCGCCCCGAATCCGCTAGGCGCTAGTAGTAGTAGCAACCTACTAGCCCTAAACCTAGGCGTACTAGTCCCGATCGAAGCCCCCTCCGATAGCGCCTTAGCTGCTACAACTAGCCTCGAGCACTGCTTCTAGATCGTTACCGCCCTTAAAGACCCTTAAGAGAAGATCTAGAACGCTCGTACCCTACTACGCGTTATTAATAGGAACATTAAGAAGGCTGCTATCTTAGTTGCGTACGGCATAAACAACTTGCGTTAGTCTATCGGTAAGCGTATCTTTAAGCGCGAGGTCCTTAACGATATAGATATTAAACAAGCCTTTCCTATCGTCTATAGCCTTAAGACGGCTAGCACCTAGATTCGTTTGCGCTTTAAGACCCTCGACTAGGCCTTCGAACATTAGGGAGGACTAAGTAGTCTTCCTAAGAGCCTTATTAACTTCGCCTACGGTAGATAAGAGCGTATAAAGCAGGTCTCTTCGTTCGTTAATAAGTATAAGGTCCGTCGTTAAGGCGCTAAGCACCTTTCCCGCACTATAATCTATTATATATCTACTGCTAGTAAGAAGGTAGGCAAGTAGTTACTTAACTTGTCCTTTACGCTTAACGACTTTATAACATCCTACTAGAAGCGGTACTACGATACAATTGTCTAGATCGATCTTAATATATAGACAACTAAGGATCTACTAAAAGAGAAGGGCTATCGCATTAATAGTATAGGTTTTATTGTTAAAGGTTAAGAGGCTCCTATCGTTAATGTCCTTGAACGTAAGGCTCTTCGCCTAGAGACAGAGGCCGATACGGCTGCTAGTCTCGCGCTCGCTACGGAGATATAGGCTTAAGACCGTCGCTCGACCCGTAACCGTAAGGTCCCTTAGGAAGTTAAGGACGAGCGCGCTAAGGCCGAAGCAGCGCGCAAGAAGGTATTATATGCTCGCTAGGCCCTCCGTAAGGCTACTAAGAAGTATAGCGCCCCTTCTAGGGCTAACTATAGTACTAACTATAGTAACTCGGATATTAATATACTAGATATACTACTAGAAGATGTCTCCTCCGAAGGCTCCTTTAGCGAGCGTAGAGATAGAGGGCTCTCGCCGATCCTATTAACTAAGAACATCTATAGCTCTTATAAGGGCGACTCTATTACGCACCTTATTACTAAGATCGATATAGTTCCTAAAGCCGATATAGGCAAAGCTCCTACCGCCCTGTCTATCTATTAATAGCTCGACAACCTTAGTAAGCTAAGAGAAGAGCCGTTCTCTATATATGCTAACTATGTTAAGAAGGCCGCTAAGGTCTATAGTCTCTATACTAGTGCTAAGGCGATTGTCCTCGTCGGCCGCCTATTAAAGATTAGTCGCGAGGTTCCTAATTAAGACGCCTTCGCTACCCTTAAGGCTAATTAGGCCTATGCTAACTAGTTTCCTAGACGCCCTATTACCGCCCCGATATCTCTAGGACTCTACGCGTTCAACCCTACTAGTACTATTACTCGCGCCCTTACGCTAATAGATCGCTAGAGCAAGTTCGTTACCGGTATCCTTAGCTAAGGCACTTCCTTCGACCGCTTTCGCTAGACTAGCAATACTATCTTCCCTTAAGTCTTTAGCTAGTTACAAGAGCCTCGTAGAGTATATCTTCCTTTCCTTATCGACCTAATATAGGAGGAGTTTAAAATATACCTTTAGTATATACGTACGATGCCTAAGTCTAAGCAGGAAGGCCGCAATGCCCTTTAAACTTATAGTGTAAGTAACTAAATCGTCCGCTAGCACCCTGCCCTATAGCTCTTAGCTGTCGCCCTTCGACCTAATTACGTATACGAGCTTATCTCTATCCCTAAGCCTACTAAGTTCTTTAAGGTTAGCGGTATTTATAAAAACTATCCTTCTAAGGAGTCTACTCGTCTCAGACAAGATATAGTTAAGCTCGCAGCTAGCGAGGGTGCTAGTTACCTGCGCATTAAGGTCTGTCTTATATCTAAGGATAAGACTAGCTACTCTACTATTGTTAAAGGCATACATTAGCCCGAGGTCTTTGCGAACTAGGTTAAGAAGCTTAAGGCTCGTAGCCTAGTCCCGCTAAGCAAGATCGGTAAGCTTACTAATAAGTACCTTACCGACGACGACCTCGACTATATATTCGATAGTTAGCTTAATAGTAAGGGGCGTAAGGCGGAGTAGATCCTCAACCCTCTAAAGGAGTACGAAGTCTCTATTTAGATACTATACCTGCTATATAGTAATCTAAAGACTAAGAGCAACTGTATATTAATTAACCTAGGCTACTCTCGCGTTATCGACGGCACTAAGATTAAGAGTTACGATAACTTAACCGTCGCCGAGGTTGCTAAGGCGCACTATAATCTAACCGCCCTTCTAGGTTCGAACACCTTCGTACCGTTCCCCTTCCCTACCGCTATCTTAGTCGAAGGCCTTAGTTGCATCTCCGACGCCCTAGTTAGTAGAATTCCTTAGTTAAGTTACGTTATTTAGAACAAAGTTAAACAGATCCTCTAGCTTAATAACGAGGGACTTAAGAAATATCTATACGATTAGGAGAATGCTGCGAAGGAAAAGGCTACTAACCTCCTCGTTAATTAAGCTTTCTACGAGGGATAGTACTTCGGTGCTAATAGCTTTAACGCATACAGAGGAGATTTCGAGAACCGACTAGCAGATAAGGTTATTGCTAGTAAGGATTACGGCGCGTTAAAGCAATAGTAGGTCTATATAGTGTTGCTTAGGAAGTTGTTTTTGCATAATTATAGTATCTAGGATTAATGCTACTCCGGGGGTGTTATTGCGGAGTTCTGAAAATAGCCTTAGCTAAGAACGCTAAGGATGCATATATGTTTGTTTTAAGCGCGCAATATAAAGCGTGTCTAGTTAGATACGAAGAAAGGGAGGGATATTAGCTAGTAACCGGCCCTATACCTATAGGCTAGTTTTAAGCCTATATAAGAGGCCTCCTTCTATATTATAGATAGAGCATCAACCTCGTATAGTACATTGTTTATATCACACTTCTACAATGCCTATATTGTAGGGCTCTAGTTATTAGCCTAAGCGACAGTCTCGTTATCCTATCTTGCTAAATATAGCTGCCTATATTGCTATAGGTTATGTTACCCTCGGTAGCCTATACTATTGCTATAAGTAGTAGTAGTGTTATTAGTTTCCGTCCTTTACTAGTTCTTAGGTTTATTATATTAGCCTAGTAGATAGTTAGTACTATTATAGTTAAAGCACTTTAATCCGATTAGGGGATTGCTATAACCGTTATTGCTACTATTGTTATTAGTCGAGCGGTTAGTATTATAGGGATACGAGCCCCTTCTACGGCCCCTATTACGGCCTCCTCTATATAGCCGCCGGCTACGGCCTCTTCTACGGTTATTGTTACTATTCCTATTATTAGCACTATTGTTCTAGTAGGAACCTTAGTTTCCTCCGCGGGCACTACGGTTGCTACGGTTAGTACTAGCTAGTCGGATCCTTAATTCTAGTCGTTACTAGAGCTAGACAGCTCGTTTAGCTGTTTCTACCTCGACTATAAATTAAATACATATTAGATTAGCCTATTTAAATACGCGGCGGCGGTCTAATTCGAGGATAAGCTCCTATCTAAGCTTTAGGCGTATCTCCGAGATCTATATAGAATTAGTTTTAGCCGGAAGGTCGTCTTTAAGGGTTTTTAAATAGGCTTTAAATAAGCGAGCCGACTAGTTAGTCTTTTGTTTAGCCCGAAGGTACTAGTCCTAAGCATATTGTTGCCTTAGTATAGGGTTTCTAAGGGTATCTAGTATAATAGTTTTGTAGGTCTACTACTAAATAGAGGTCTAATCGTCGAGGGAGTTAAAATAGTTATCCTAGGTGCGTTTTAGGTCGCTATTAATATACTATATAGCGTAGACAACTAATAAATAGTCGTCTAGAAGAGCCCTAGGTACATTTCGCTAGTTAAGCTTACAATCGCGTATATAATTATTGTACTGCTTGCGGCTAGAGCCGTTAAATACGGTATAGTCCTTAAGCTTAGCGTCCTTCTTCTAGGCTAATAGCGAGGAAGGTCCTACTATTAGTTTAGTAGTAGTTATCGGGGCTTCCTAAAGGCGGCGAAGCTCGAGGAGATTATCCTTTAGCTATTGTTCTTAGCGTAAAGCAGCGAGCCTGTTTTAGGTAGCTTCTTAAAGTCTCGCTACTAGCTAGGGCCTAAAGGCTAGTTAGCTATATCGTCGATTAACAATGTTGTTAAGGATATCGTTAATAGGCAATTCTAGATTATTACCTAGAACTATAGGTTCTTCGGCAGGCCTAGTAGTAGGCTCTTCGGTAGGAGGCACTTTAGTAGGTACTTTAGTAGGCACTTTAGTAGGCACCGTGCTACTAGCGTTGTTATTGCTAGCGCTGCTAGCGGCAGCACGGTTGTTGCTTCGTAATAGGCCGGCTATTGTAATAAGGGGTAGCACTAATAATATATTATAGCCCCTTATAGTGCGGATATAGCGGAATTAGTAGGTATCGGTCTAGTATGCTTAACTTAGTATAATAGGCCGTATAGAAGGCCTTGCTTAATAATTGGTACGGTTGTTTTTAGTAGAATAGTACGTATAGGTCCCGTTCTTCGGGTATAATATAGTTAAATCGATAGTTTTCGTAGCTATACCGCTAAAAGCTTAAAATAAGGACTATCTAGCTACTACCCTTAAAGGGTAGATCGAATACTATATAAGAAGGGTTATATTAGCAGGTAGATAGGGTAGTAGTAGGTATAAGTAGTATTCGATAAGGATCTAGGAGGAGAAGGAGGAAGGCAGGCAAGTTAGCCTACTACTAAGCGCTAAGCCCTGCCTAAGGCATTAAGACCCTAGCTTTACTCGAGCCCGGTTATATACCAATTACGTGTAACCTCTTTAGTCCTAACATTCTACCTCTTATTTATTAACCTATTCTATCTCTTCCTCGCGGTTATATATCGCGCTTATTTCGACCTTACTATCGCTAAACTCTATGCTTTTTATTATATATAAGCCTTCGTACGCTAAATATCTATCGCTTAAGAATATATAGTTATTACTTAGTAAGCTAGAAGTTAAGCGGCTAGTACGTATATCTCGCAAACTATAAATTAAGCAACTTAGTATAATTTAAGCTTTTATAGATTATAGTATTACTTAGCGCCTCTACTAACGCTATCTTATTAGAACTCTTAAGAAGTACTTTAAGCGCTTTCTAACTACCTTTAGGGCTATAGCTAACGTATTGTTTATTATAAGAGACTAAGAAGAATACTAGTAGTTTATTAAGACTATATAGAGCGACCTACTAAGCTATACTATACTAAAGGCAGTTAAGAAAGTAGACTATTTAAAGAAGAAGTAGATAGCTCTAGAGAGTAACGATAGGGCTATAGGCGACTTAGGTACGGCTCGGAGTTTAGTCGGAGATCTCCTTTTAATAGCGTTTCGAATAACTAGTCTACTAAAGGGCTATTACGTATACTTAAAGCGCCGAGATAAGCGTTAGATACGTAGAGAGAGCTTATAAGATACGTGTTCGTCCCCTTAGCTATTTATAATATTATCTAAATTTATATAAAAGAAGCCCTCTTCTATATTTCTTAGAATAGCTAGAATTCCTTAAAACGGCTTTTTCGACTATATTCTTCTCTTCTATACTACGACTACTAATAATAACTAACTGTTTCTAAGCCTTATAATATACCTATTCTAACTTAACGATTATATCCGCGAGCGCGTATAACGAAATAGTATTATCGATACCTACGGTTAGCTACTAATATAGGCTCTAGACCCCGTAGTAGTCCGGGTTAGTTTAGTTTAGTTTACTAAGCCGGAATTCTAGTTTAGTTTAGTTTATTTTGCTAAGGAACCGGTATACGGACCGGTTTGCCGGCTACGTGCCGGCTACGGACAAAAACCTAACCTAAAACACGTCTAAACAGCCCGAAACACAGATGCAACCGTGTAGCGTATGCAATATAGGGCCCCTAGACCCGATCCGAGGTCGTCGTATGTCGTCGTATGTCGTCGCAGTTTAAACTTTAGTCGGATTTTCTCGGAAACCGGCTTAGACTAGCGGGGTAAAAAACTAAACCGGAACTAAACCGGAGGGGTACCGCTAAGAAACCAAACTATATACGTTCTATAGTTCGCAAACCGAACTACTACGGGGTCTAAATATAGCAGAAATATAATACTCCGGCTTTTAATATCTACTACTCTTAGTATAGAAGAAGATAGCTAATAAGATTATATAGGATTATAAGGATATAGACAATAATAAGCCTACTTAGTAGATAGCTCTACCTACTCTATATAACAACGTATATACTAAATGCTTCTACTACTTCTAGTATAGCTATTACCTATTTTATAAGTATATCTAGCGCTTAAGCTTCTATATTACTAGTACGAGTATTCTTACGCTACGACGTTATTATTTATATAATAGCCGTTTTTAAGGTCTAAATAGCAATCTTACACATCTAGAGTATTACAATACTAGACTTGTTATCGATAATAATAAATAGTTAGTAGCGACCTACGTCAATATTAATAAGGCTCTAGGAGTAGTATAAAAGCGCTAAGTAAAGGAATGCTTCTATTCTATATAAGAAGTAGTTATATAGTAGGCCTTCTTCCGCTTCTATAATATATAGGCTTCTAATCTAAACGACGCTTAGTAATATAAGGCCCTCCTATAGTAGGTAACTAACTACGCCCTAATAAACTAGAAGTTAATAAACGATTATCGGATTATATAAACGACTAGTCTAGACGTAGCGCTAAAGAGGCTAAATTAATACCTTATTATACTTCTAAGTAGCGAGGTTTTAACAGCGATAGGCTGTTATAGTAACTACTTAGACTAGTCTTCTATACGGCTATATTACTATAAGAAGGGTTATATTAGTAGGTAGATAGGGTAGTAGTAGGTATAGGTAGTATTCGATAAGGATCTAGGAGGAGAAGGAGGAAGGTAGGCTAGTTAGCCTAACGCTAAGCGCCAAGCCCTGCCTAAGGCACTAAGACCCTAGCTTTACTTAGTCTAGTTACATGCCAATTACATATAGCCTCTTTAGCTCTAACAATTACTAACTCTACCTTTATTAGTTACCTTAACTAAAACTAGTACTAACCTTCTAGATATATATAGGCCTCGTACTACTATTAAAGGCTATTCTTTACTAGTCTACGGTCTACCTAATAAGAACAGCTTTATTACTTAGGTTAAAAATAGTAGGGAAGACGTACTATACGAGGTTAAAGAGGGCCTATTTAATATCCTCTTAGATACAGACCTTCTATAATTAACGCTAATTAGCTAATTGCCGCTATCTTTACTAAAGAACGCTAGTAAAAGCAATTAATACGATAGCGACGAGGTATTAAGGCATTAATAGCTATTACTATTATCCTTACTAGACGATTTACCCTTACTAAGTAAGCTATTTCTACCTCGTAATCTACTACTACTATTCTCTATAGTAGAGCTACCTTCTATAGTAGAGCTAACTTCTATAGTAGAGCTACCTTCTATAGTAGAGCTACCTTCTATAGTACTAGTACTATCTATAGCTCTATATTTATTACCTATAATATTACCTAGTAAAGATACTTTAAATAATCTACTATAGCTATTAGGTAGCTCTTATAAACCTCGTCGTTAGAAGCCTTTAATTAGTAAGCCTATAATACCTTCGAAACGCGCTTATAGAAGGTTATACGTAGGTATACTACCTAGACTATACCGGATAGATTAGTCCTCTTATACGCTATCTTTTATACTAACTAGACTACTAAAACGACGGATATAAGGAGAGCTTGTCGCTTCTAAGCGGTAGAAGTAGTAGTCCTAAGTTATAGGCGTAGACTTACTAGTAGTTATTTTTAAGCGATTACAGCTATTTAGAATAGTAGAAATCTAAGGTAATTAGGTTATATAAGGGGTGTACTATGTTTGCAATACCCTAATTTATATACTAATTTCGGTAAATCTAGGGCACTCTACAGGTTGTACGGAACCCACAGGATGTGCTGGAGCCACCTCGAATTTACTTTCTAGGTTGATCTACTCGCACTTGAGGCGAAGAGGAGGCAGGAAAGAAGGTTAAGTGGCGACCTTCGTTGACAAAAGAGCAGGGACATGCCAAATGTCCTTACGCAAAGAATTCCACGGGACGTGGCGTGGACGATTCATCATTACGGAGCAACTTGGCTCACACCTCCACCTCTACCATACATCCGTCGGAATCTCTACCCTTATCATCACCAATGTCCCAATGCACCTGATTGACAGCCTACCCGCCCCAGCACTTGCTGCGCTTGCCCTCATAGGAGGTTTGTGGGCCACTTCCCAAGCCTACAGCATTGCAACCTCTTTCTACATCTATTTCCTGCGTCAGAGCTCTCTGGGAAAATACAGTAAGACTCCCAATGGCAAAGCTGCCTGGGCTTTAGTCACCGGAGCAACAGACGGCATCGGTAGAGGATTTGCTGAGGAGCTCTGCCAACGAGGTTTCAATGTCGTTCTACATGCCCGCAATCAAGAGAAATTGGAGACTGAACGCGAAAAACTCCTGAAGCGTTGGCCTCAGCGTGAGGTGAAGCTCCTGAAGATCGACGCTGCGAGCGAATCCTCACATCCGGCCACGTTTGAGGGAGCAGCGGCGCGATTGAAAGAGGTCGATCTGAAAGTTCTGGTGAACAATGTCGGCGGCTCCGGCGGCATGGCCTCGTTTCAGCCTCTTCATGAGCGTGCTCCTGGAGATATAGCGAGGTTCATCAACACGAATGCCACTTTCGCTACAGAACTTACGAGAGCACTTCTGCCGCAGCTTCAGAAGAGCACTCCGGCACTCATCCTCAACATCGGTAGTGCAGTCAGTGACTTCGGCCTTCCCTATTTGAGCGTCTACTCAGGAACCAAAGCATATGTCAAGGGCTGGTCGTCGAGCTTGAACGCAGAGATGAAAGCTGATGGCCATGACATCGAGATAATGTGTCTTCTCGTCGCTGCAGTCGGAACGGATTATGCGCCCAGACCGGAGACACTGTTCGAACCGAATGCGAGAAATCTGGCCAAGAGCGCTCTGAACATTGTCGGCTGCGGTAGAAGCGTGATATTTCCCTACTGGCCGCATGCCCTGGAGGCCAGTTTCTTCCACGCTCTGCCACGTACCATCGCTGAGGCAGCCGTCATCGACCGTGGTAAGCAAGAACGACTGCTTGATATGGAGCGCATGAAGAAGCGATGACCAGCTTTGTGGAGGACAACCACAGAATCTTAGCCAACTCATAACCACATTATGCTATCTAGAATGTGGTCCGACAGCTTCGTACCCTTTCTATCATGACATGCACAACGCCCGGGCTGGTGCTAATGACGCAACCATCATATGGGTCTCGCCACCCATTATCCTCGCCCTGCACCGTGATCTGAATTGTCCGTCCATGCAGTCTTGGGTCGTTTGCTATGTCCTCGACAAGCTTGAGCGACGCCGCAATATCGTCACGCAAGCCAATACACTTTACTGACTGCGCAGCTCCGTCGGGCCGAGTATGTATCAGTGTCACGGAGAAGGGTCTAGGGACTGAATCTTCAACTTCTGGCGCTGAGCGATGCTTGGCATACGCAGACAACCCTTCCTCTTCTAAGTTTCTAGCAATATCAGAACAGAATACCCCCTCAGATGGATGTAGTCGATATGCCGTGCGACAGCGCTCCCGCAAGTCACCTTCAGATTCGACTTTGCGCAGTTTTGAGATCGTCCAACCTCTCGGTGCTGGCTTCCGAGGAGGTGATGCTGCTCGCTCCGGCCTCACATGAGACCTTGCCGGAAATGTAATAAGCGAGGGCTCTCTATACCAAGGTGTTGTACGGTCAAAGCTCCGGCTGCGATGCGTCTCTCTGGCTGGGCGCCCAGTATCGTGTCCTGGCACGGGAGCATAGTCTCGTTCGTTTTCGAAAGTCAACTGCTGCTCACTAACAGCAGCTGACGTTGAATACTGGCTTGCATCGCTCGCTATGCTGGGGCTTGGAAGACGGCGGCCAGCCGTCGGAGCATCGAATCGGGTTCGAATAGCCGCTCGCTCAGTCGGAGAACTGCCATCCACTGTGAACCATCAGCCAACTTTTCCCAGACAATAAATAGCTACATCGCATGCTGAACATACTGGTATCGAGCTCGCTTGCCACAGCCCATATCTCAGGCTCGCGGTCCGCGAACGATGATGGCAGTACTGCATGCTCTGGTTCATCCCTCATGGCTTCCACAGTAGCCGGCGGCATGGCAAAGTTCCCCTTGGAAGATATGTGCGCTGACATATCCACCTTCTGAAATGAGCACGACCACTGTAACAAAATATCAATTACCTCCTAAGATATTCATCATATGAGCACAATCATGAAATCTTCATCGATCAACCCCATCAACCTCCAAGATCCCGATCTTTCTGACAACCCTCTTCCTTCTCAAGCAAACCAAGCTCCCTCATCTCCCTCACAACCTCTTCCCCAACATCCTCACACTCAATCTTCGCAATCACATCATACCAATCCGTCTCCGCCTCGCTTTCATGCATCAAGATTTTCCGCCCCGTCGGTCCATCTATAATCGACCACTGCATGATCATCGTACGCCCGAAAATGTTTCTTGAAGTTTGCACATCGTTGAGCTTCTCGCAAGCGGTCAGGAGACTTGTTTCGTGGTAGATGTCTGTGATTGGAAATTTCGTGGAGTTGGAGTTAGCGTCGGGGTTGTATGTGATTTGGATGGTGAAGGAGGGGGAGTGTGTGTTGGGGGGCATGATTGCGATGGAGAGGAGCTTTGGGGTTTGCTGGAGTTGATGGAGGGATTACTGTTCGTGGCTTTGGGCGTAGATGTAAATGTGTGGAGTAATTCAGGCTTGCTGCCATCCTCTGTCTAAGACCAGTTTCAGAGTGGTTGTCTTTTGTCTCGGTATTAGTGATTTGATGTTTTACGCCACAGTCTCTGATTGCGGGTTGAATTGAACTTCGCGCAGGTAGTTTGTCTGACTGACATTTGTCTTTGCCACGATCGACTTGGAATCAATGCTCATGTTTTCTCCAAATCGCATCTTCTGTCGATTGAGGAGGCGGACAAACGTAGCGGATGTATCTTACCATACTTACGAAGGCGAAAATTCCGCCAGAACGGCTATTCCCTCTTTACTTTCGCCATGTTTTTGCATCATCCATCAAACTGTATACGCTTCTCGGTGGCGTAATACGCACTGCTGCGTCGATCGGCCTTCTGTGAATGTATACTCCAATCGGTATTTAGTTTCCTGTCAGTGAGTCACATTGTCTTTTCTTTCCTACCACATCACGACTCACGAACACAACGAAGGCACAATAATGAGTAGTACAACAGGCCCATTTTATCCACATGGCTGTTTTGATCTACTGACCATGTACGCCAGATCCACCTCCAAATTCACCTGCTCTTCCGCCGATCCGACCCCATCTCTCCCTTGAGGCAGGCGGTCCATGCTCAACTCCGCCTCCTACTTCCCCACCCACTGACAGCATGGGAGCAATCCCAAGCCCGCCTTGGGGTCCTCATTACCCTCGTCCACCGGTCGACCGCTGCTCCAGCCCCGTCAACCCGATTCCAAGTCCTCCTTGGGGTCCTTACTCTCCGGGACCTTCTGGCGATCGCTGCTCCAGCCCCGTCAACCCAATTCCCAGCCCTCCTTGGGGTCCTTATTCTCCGGGACCTTCTGGCGATAGCTGCTCAAGCCCGGTCAATCCTATTCCGAGTCCTCCTTGGGGACCCTATTCTCCAGGCCCATCGGGTGACCGGTGTTCCAGCCCAGTCAACCCAATTCCCAGCCCTCCTTGGGGTCCTTATTCTCCGGGACCTTCTGGCGATAGCTGCTCAAGCCCGGTCAATCCTATTCCGAGTCCTCCTTGGGGACCCTATTCTCCAGGCCCATCGGGTGACCGGTGTTCCAGCCCAGTCAATCCAATTCCCAGCCCGCCTTGGGGTCCATACTCTCCTGGACCCTCGGGTGATGTGTTGGTACACTAGCCTGTACTCGGACTCTTATCTTGCCACGCCGTGGCAGTATGACCCATGAGATTGATCCACAGAGGATTGATGGCGTTAATCGAAATTTTTGGTTGCTGTTAGCCGTAAGGAAATAGTGTAGCAAAACGTACTACTTCACACCTGCTTCTGATAGCCTCGTCTCGTTTCTCGGCGAAGGATCGACCGACCGAGGCTGATCCTTCGTGTCTCTTGTTCAGGCTCGGCTCAGGACACATTGTCACAATGCAGAGTGGTATGTTGCTCTTCTCAGGAGGCATTGCGCGCTGATCCCAGCCTTGTAGTATTCGGTTCTGCTGATAGAGACGGGTTTCCGCTCGCCTGTATCCATTTTGCCGATGAATCCCGTGGTGGTGTCGTCGTGCTCGTTGGAGACGTGTATGGATGATGATTATGTCAGCGGCGGCGTAACGTCCAGCATGGCACAGGCCATCGGATGGCGATGGCGTAGTCATTCTGCGTGTCGCACACATTGCAGGGGGGCCCTTTGCTGTGTGGTCGGGACCGTCGGGGTAGAAGAGGAGTGCGCACTGTTGTAACGTGAGATTGTACTCTGTCTGCTTCAGCTGCTGACCATTTGTCCTTCTTGCCGCCGCCGTCACCGGGAAATGCCGACTGGGAAGACTGGCCGTGCGTGGAATTGTCGTTCAACGGTTGACGTGCGTGTTTAGACTTTATCTGAAGCTTCACCACATCCGACATCCCACAGCCCATTGCAGGCGAGAGCGATTCACCGTGCGCTTGTTCGGTTCATTGTGTGCCACCGCCGACCTCTACGCTTTCCATTCGCCCGCCCATTCAACTCCATCTCTCCCACCACATACCATCCCGACCGCCACCGACTTCGTGTACATCAACCATTGGCCGCGTGCTGGGCGCTGTTGCGGCGTATGTCTTCTGCTTCGACGGGTCGAACGCAGCCGCAACACAATGGACACAGACATGCGGGCGCCGGCGCGGTGAGGCCCATGGTCCTCGCCGCTGCCAAATTGCTCTTCATACCGCTCGCGAGCGCTGCTCCGACTCCGTTGAAGCTGGTTGCCAGGCATCTGCATATACTAGAAGACGGTGAGGACCTGCCCAAGGACGCCGATGACCCGTCGTTATGGATCTACTTGGGGGTGGCCATTGCCCTCGTCTTGCTTGGAGGTGTCTTTGCGGGCTTGACCATTGCATTGATGGGACAAGATGAAACATATCTGCATGTGATAGCGACCAGCGGAGAGGGCAGCGAGAAGCGACATGCGTCCAAAGTGCTGAATCTGCTGAAGAAGGGCAAGCACTGGGTCCTGGTCACGCTACTGCTCTCGAATGTTATTACCAACGAGACACTGCCCATTGTCCTGGATCGCAGTTTGGGAGGTGGATGGCCTGCAGTGGTTAGCAGTACTGTGTTGATTGGTAGGTCTGCTCAGGAATTTTCGGAGAGCGCGATAATGTACTGATTTGTGCGTGCTTCTAGTTATCTTTGGCGAAGTCGTGCCGCAGTCCATCTGCGTACGCTATGGCCTTTCTATCGGAGCCTATTGCGCGCCGCTTGTCGTCGTTCTGATGTGGATAATGTGCCCTGTCGCTTGGCCGACAGCCAAGCTGCTGGACCACCTCCTCGGAGAGGATCACGGCACCATGTACAAGAAAGCTGGTCTGAAGACATTGGTGACGCTCCACAAGACATTGGGAGCTGGGGCTGGAGAGCGATTGATGGAAGATGAGGTGACCATTATCAACAGCGTGCTGGATCTCAAGGACAAACCAGTCGGCGACATCATGACACCCATGCAAGATGTCTTTACCATGAGCGCCGATACCGTCCTGGATGAGAGGATGATGGACACCATCCTTTCACAGGGATACTCTCGCATACCTATCTATGCACCAGACAACAATCGCAACTTCATCGGCATGCTGTTGGTCAAGATCTTGATCACTTACGACCCAGAAGACTGCAAACGCGTTCGCGACTTCGCATTGGCAACGCTTCCCGAAACGGCGCCCCACACATCCTGCCTTGACATCATCAACTTTTTCCAGGAAGGCAAGAGCCACATGGTGCTCGTATCAGATTTCCCAGGCCAAGACAGAGGAGCACTCGGCGTTCTCACCTTGGAGGATGTCATCGAGGAATTGATTGGAGAGGAGATCATTGATGAGTCTGATGTCTTCATCGACGTTCATAAGGCTATTCGCCGTATGGCACCAGCTCCGAAGACCCGCTTTCCTAGCAGGACCCGTTCTGTCGTCGAAGAAGATGACGGCAAGGAGGCGGATGAGAACGAGCCTTTGATCAAGAAGGATACCACCGAGTCGCGGAAAACAAGCCTTGCCAACGGTCAGACCACATTCTTCATGCGTAGGAGATCAAGCGCTGCATCTGATTCTACCCGCGAAAGGTCTGTTCCAGTGCGCAAGAATACCGCAGAAATCAGAGAGCATCTCAAGCATCTTGGACCAAGCAATGCCGCAAGCAAACCCAAGCCCACCAAATTCACCAGCGTCAAGATCAAGCCCGGAGTTGGAACCATTCCGGAGAACCACCAGACTACTACAGGAATCGATTCCGGCTCAGGGGACGCTCGCCCAGGCACGGCACCTAATCAAGCGACCGTTGATGAAGCGGTTGAAGCTTTGAGGTCTGGTTCGCGCGGCGCTTCTAGTGGAGCAGCGGCAGTCTACGGCACTATGGACACGCCGCCAACCAGGCCGAGAGGTATGAGTGGATCCGAACAGATGAGTGCGCAAGAAGCGAGCCGGATAGCCAGAGAGAATACCTCTGTGCCTCCCGAGAACCGAATACCGCAAGAAGACGGCTCCAGTCAGAATCAGGAATCGCAACAACAACAAGAGGAGCGAACACAAGACCAGAAATTGCAGGAAGAGAGCAAGCCTACAAACGAGACAAATACAAATTCGCCATCCCCACTGAAGCTGACGCCAGAACTACCAGAAAAGCTGGTCGTCGGTGGTTCGGCAGCCGCTGAAGATGACAACGATCAGCTTGGGGACATGCAGTCGAGCTACTCTGGTAAGAAGCGGATGACAGCGCGATCTGGTTCGATCACAGAAAGCACAATCGAGGTTGGCGGCATGAAGAAAGTCGTTCTCGAGACCACCTCTAGTAGTGAAGACGGTCACGAGGAGACGCGCAGCCACTCTCACCGAACTTTGAATTCCCCAGGCTCCAAGAACGAAGAGCATGATGAGAAAGACTCTGGTAGTGGCGGTCATGAATCGAATGGCGAAAGCAGTGGCAAGAAGAAACGAAAGAAGCGTGGCAAGAAGAAGAAAGGTGGAGATTAGTTGTCACTTCTGACTAACGAGGACAGCGGCGACGATGAGGACACTCTCATCGGATCTATCACTACATCACGCAGTTCTACCAGCTCTTCCATCAGCACCCATCAGCGACACCGCAGCACAGTCAGCATTGGCAGCGCTAACGGCGTTCAGATCCATAAGCTCCAGGCGAGATGGTATGAACAGCAGCAATTCCGCGTGGGAGGGAGCCTTGCCGATGAGTGCGCACATTATGCATATATGGAACAAAATCAGACTGTTGGCGGAAGGTGGTAATCGGTGAGGCGAAAGTATGTGTGTATTTGTTGTTGTATAGTAACTTTAGCGACGTATGTGTGTGTGCTACCGCTACAGACAGAGCAAACAGCGCAGAGAAAAGAAAAACAATCGAAAGCATTTGAGGCTTTCGGTCTTCTCCAACTTTGCGTTCCGACAGACTTGAGCGCCGCGTTGATATTCGTTCGGCATTGGATCCAGTAGATACCTGCTTATGGTCGCCAGAGCGTCAGCAACCATTACATCTCGAGACAGTTTACGCTGAGATATGTAACAACAACATTGCGATTCAGGCGATGTCGGACAAAGAAAATCGAGTCTTCAAAGAACCGAGAGTTTCACGAGTTGTTCGTCTCGTCTCTCGTGTTCTCCGCTCGGCAAAAATTGGGTATAATCATTGCAAATGCGTAACATGACATGGGATGAGAAAAGACTTACCGCGCGTCGCGAGATCGATCAGGTAAGGTATAGGGGAAGTGAGTGAGTGGAAGTGATTTCGATGCTATCGACCGACTATATATAATTCTGCGTAACCTGAAGGCCGGTTTTTTTTTGTGCGTTGGGGGTTTTCATGTTGTGTAAGTTGAGTGGGTATGAGCCATTGTGACTCGGTGGGGAATGTTGCCAATGTTTCGTATTCGCGAAGGAAGGGGAATCGTCGTGAGAGAGGATGAGATGAGCTGGTGTGGGAATGTGTGTGTGTGAGAGAGGATGAGCCATCGAAGGATTGGGTGGAGATGGTGTTTGGTGGCTTCGGAATTGAATTGAGACATTTTCAAACGAGTGTGGTTTTGATATTGAATCAAGCTACAAATGCAAAAAAAAAGACTAAGTGGACAAAACAAACAAGATTGTGGTCGCTGACCACCGCGCATCAGTCCGAACCCGCTGCGCGTTCAACCCTAGACTTCCTTCACCAGTAGTACCCTCGGCGGCTTCTTAGACGTGAGGTCAGTCTCTGTCTCTTCGAACACATCTCCAGACACCTCTTCCACCATTCCCCTTGGCAACTTCTCAGACGTGAGGTCAGTCTCTCTCTCTTCGGATAGATCTTCATCTATCTCCTTCACCATTACTCTTGGCAACTTCTGAGACGTGAAGATGGTCTCTCTCTCTTCGAGTAGATCTCCAGACACCTCGTTCACCATTACGCTTGGTAAATTCTTAGACTGGAGGGCGAGGGCAGTCTCTCCATCTTCAAATAGATCTTCATCAATCTCCTTCACCATTGCCATTGGTGAATTCTTAGACTTGAGGACAGTCTCTCCCTCTTCGAGTAGATCTCCCGACACCTCGTTCACCCTTACCCTCGGCGACTTCTTAGACTTGAGGGCGAGGGCAGTCTCTCCATTTTCAAATAGCTCTTCAGTCTCCTCGTTCAACGAGTCCTTAGCAAAGTATCGCAAGTCGACCTCAGGTTCCTTAGGAGATTGTGGTGGATCCAGCGGCTTGCAGGTGCCTTTTTCACTAGGTCGTGGATTTAGCGACCGATATCTGGCGGGCCCTCGTGGACGGTCTGAGCTCGGCTTGTGTTTGGTCGGTCTCTTCGGTTCTGGCGTTTTTGTCTCGATCCCAAAGTGCGCAGGCTTAGGCATTGGCGGGTCGATCTTAATGCCAAAGTTCTCGGGACTTTTCCATTCGGGGTTTTTAGAGCGCCAGTCATATCGGTAGTCGTGGCTGTAAGCTGGTAGACCCTTGGCCTGAGGTGATGAGTAAGAGACATATTGACCGGCCCCAATCCTGAAAGATTCCAGAGTTGCGGGACTGCGAGTATTGTTTGTTGAGAATGACGGTCCTGTTGTGCGATTGCGAGCTCCGGATACCAGTGGAGGACGCGGAGGCATGTGGTAGTATGAAGGATATCCAACCTCGTGGAGAATGCGTCCTTGATATGTGGGCATTGCTGTCGAGATATGAGGCTGCGAACGTCTTGGAGTGACGTGCTGGGTGGTTGGCGCTGCCGAAGAAGCAGAAGACTGTCTCGGCTGAGCCGCCGGTTGTGGAAACCTGATGATCCCGTCGTTTTTCAGAACGGGAACGTGGTTCAGGCTGGAAGAAAGGAAAGCTTCCAATTGCTTCTCAACATCAAACATCAAATGAATAAACGCTGTACGGCGATCGGCGGCCGAGTTGGCGGAAATAATGCTGTGTTTGACCTGGCTCCCATCGTCCATCATGACAGCTAGAGAGGCGCGGTACGCAATCCCATCGTGGAGGTGAATTCGTGGGAAGAAAAGGTCAACGCGCTTCGAGTTGATTTCATGGAGACCGTTCGAAGATAGGACCACGAGAGCAGATTCTGTCGAAATTGTAAGCACTATGGTTCACGAACGTGGTAGTGTGTTGGCATCAAACGTGAATAACATACTAATGAATTTCCACCTATCTGTGGTACTCTTGAACACATCCCAGCCAACTGCACCGGAATTATCAGGTCTGACGCCTCGGGGAGTCACATAGTCCATAGCGACAGGCAGACAGAGATCCAGAGAGCGCTCGGCGGGACTCGGGACCTGAGGCAATGATGAGACCTCACGGCCTGCATTTTGGCGCTCGATGAGTGACAGATGAGCTCGATATCTGTGCATTTCGTCGCGGTCTACAGCAGCTTGTCCAGGTGCTGCTTGTGTTCTTCCGATCACTGTCTCAGTTTCTTTATCACCCGGTAGCCCAAGTTCGGCATCTCGCTCCTTGCTGTGGTAGCATCCCATCCCGGCGGAGTGCCAGCGCAGGCGAGTGGGAAAGCAATATCGCTGTGATCGGGAGAGCGCGCGTAGTGAGCAGGGAGATCGTTCAGTGCGTCGTTGTGCTAAAGCAGTCTGCGGAGCATGACGGACACGAAATGATGGGAGAGGAACAGGGCGATCATTTGAGTTCTCATCAACCATACAACTCTGCTGACCAGCTTTCATCTTGAGTTGAAGCTTCGTCCAATTCTTTCGCCCACAAACCTTAAGCCTGCAAAAAAATCGGGTCGCCCGCGATTTCGCTGCCACATAAGGGCATAATATGCTGCAACACCGAATACAGGCAGCATTGCCACGATGCCCATGCCTTCTAGCAGAACCTCCTTCTGCCTATTGGCCGCTTTAATCACGTCTGAATAGCGCTGGTTGCTGAAGCTGACCCGACTGTACTGCGTCGCGAAGCCAGTGCTTGGCAATCGATCCGAGAGGAACTCCTCGACCTTCTTGCGGAGTAATTTCACTTTGGATGTTACACCCGCGCGCATGTCCCAGAAGTTGGCAAGAGACAGATCATTGATCGCGTGTGCATCGGCCAGCCGCTCCGCATTGTAAGACTCCAGCGCCTTAGCACGGCCATCGGGACTCATCGGATGTGCGTCAAGGTGCGAGAAGAGCACGCGCACATCTTCCAGACCAGCGTTCATTCCTTGCCCGTAAAATGGTACCATGGCATGCGCTGCATCCCCCAGAATCACACCGGTCGACCCATAGAAATGCGGCGAGCACTTGATGCTGATAAGTGGAAGATGTGGGTTCTCGCCAAATTGTTCCGTGATTGACTCGGGTCCGATCAGATCGACAGCACCGGGAAAATGGGCATTGAAGAAGCGCTCGACGTGCGATGGATCTTTCTCCAATGCTTCGAAATCAGCGGCTGGTGCAAAAAGGGTGGATGTGAAAGTTTTGTCAGTACTGGGAATGGCGATGAACATCTTGTCCTTCCCGGGCCAAATGTGCAGATGATTTGGGCTGGTCCTAAAGCCGTGCTTGGCCGATGGCGTCTTGCTGGACTTGTCGTCTGCCGGAGGGATTTGGAACTCACACCAAAGAGTGTCAATATAGGTCTGCTGATAGTCCAGGCGAACAAACTTCATCATGTGGAAACGGACAGCGCTGTGAGCACCATCGCAGCCGATCAGAAGATCGAATTCGATCTCTATCTCGTCCGGACGACCCGGTCGACTGCTGGCGCGCGTCCCATCTTCCAACACACTCGCTCGTCTCGACGGGCCTTTCTGCTCCAACCACGCAAGGCGACGCTTGAAGTCAACACCCGTCAACTTGTGATTGAATCGTAGCCTGACATTGGGCAGAGATTCGAGCTCGTCCAGAAGCCGTCCGTTGAGGTCGCCACGGTCTACTGCATTGATATATCGACCATGGACATCGTAAGGCTGAGCTGCTTCAGTCAAGGCTCCCGTGCGGTCTTGTCCGTGAACCATGCGACCATACATAGGAATCGTCTCGTTCAGAATGGAGTGCAGAAGACGGTCGGAGTTGTATTGTCGCAGGGCATTGATGCCACGTTCAGAAAGGGCCAGATTGATGCTCCTGGTGAAGTTGAGAGGCGTCGTGGATGCATCTCGCAGATCTGTGCGCTGTCAGCAACGCCGGACGGCCACGACGGCGGTGAGGGGGAGGAGGAACAAGTACCTGATCTGAGATCGTAGACCTCGACGTCCCAGCCTCGTGTCGCCGCGTAGAGACCGGCCAAAGCACCCACAGGCCCGGCGCCGATGACCACGCATTTGCTTCCGCTTTTCTGGTTGCCCTCAGCCGTGGCCATGGCCAGCAGATGTGCCTTCTGAGAGTCGCAGTTTGACGTCTGCGGTCATTGCCTGGATGACTCCACGTCCGATGACCCGGGACCTCTTCTGGTGTTTATTAATGCGATTCTGGGAACTTGTCAGTCGCCGCCGAGGTCTTTCGGACAAGACCTCTCGCCTGGGCGCGCGCTTGTCTCTGTCTGTCTCTGGACCGAGCCGAGCCGAGCCGCCCTCCCGCTTCCTCACTCACGCCGAGCGGCGAGAACCGACGGAGCTCGATCTCGAAAATGCGCGTCGCTGAGAACAAAGACACAACAAGACATGGTCTCTGAGAATCGCTCCACATCAGTAGAAGCACATCGACTCGTACCGAGCAGCACAGGTCCATTTCCACAGCACTGCACTCACCGCCGTGAGACCACGATCGATTCCTCCCCCAATTGCTGCTAGCTGAGTGATCAGCATGGATCAGGCGCCTGCGAAGGAGACCACGGTCGCAAAGGTCGCCAAGTGCGAAGGGGCGGACTGCGAAAACGATGCAGGCACGCTGCAGTGTCCGACATGTCAGAAGCTCGGGAAGAACTCATATTTCTGCGGTCAAGATTGCTTCAAAAGGAATTGGGTAGGTCAGTGCTCTGGTCCACACTATGGTACATGGCAGGGATACGGCCATATAGCGTATTCAAGTGCACGAGAACGGCACTGACATGAGGTAGGCTGAACACAAAAAGCTTCACAAAGCACAGAACAGTATGCTCTCCAAAGTCCTTCCGCCGAAAGTCGTGTCCTTACCAGACGCAGATGGTCACTTCAACCCGTTTCCCACCTATCCATTCACCGGTCCCCTGAGACCCGTCTACCCTCTCTCTCCAAAGCGAACACTACCAGATAGGATACCACGACCAGACTATGCAGGCAATGGTATTCCCAAAAGCGAGCAGGTACGACCGTTCCGGGCGCGGCGCAGTCCTAGAAGAATGAAGCTGATGTGCCACAGGTCTTTGTAGGACGCAACAAGATCAAGATTCTCACGGAGAAGGAGCAGGATGCCATGCGAAAAGTATGCCGGCTCGCACGCGAAGTGCTTGACATTGCAGCTCGAGCGGCGAAGCCTGGAGTTACCACGGACGAGATTGACCGGATCGTGCATGAAGCATGTATAGAACGTGATGTCAGTTCCCCTTTTCCTATCGCCATCATCACATCAATACTGACATGCGACAGTCATATCCCTCACCACTGAATTACTGCCACTTCCCCAAATCAGTTTGCACAAGTCCCAACGAAGTCATCTGCCACGGAATCCCCGACCACCGACCCCTCAAAGACGGCGACATTCTCAATATTGATGTTACACTTTACCACAATGGCTTCCATGGCGATCTCAACGAGACCTATTACATTGGCGATTCGGCAGCACAAAACCCGGACAATGTTCGCGTGACAGAAGCCTCCCGTGACTCCTTGGACGATGCCATCAAGCTTGTCAAGCCTGGCGCCTTGTTCCGCGATTACGGCAACACAATCGAGAAGGTCGCAAAGGAGCGAAACTGCCAGGTCGTCAAGACTTACTGCGGTCACGGCATCAATCAGCTCTTTCACTGTGCACCGAATGTTCCTCACTACGCCAAGAACAAGGCTATTGGAGAAGCCAAACCGGGCATGTGTTTCACCATTGAGCCCATGATCACACTGGGTAGTTACAGAGATCAGACTTGGCCGGATGACTGGACCTCTGTCACTCGGGATGGCAGTAGGACGGCCCAGTTCGAGCACACACTCCTTGTCACTGAGACAGGCGTGGAAATTCTGACAGCGAGATTAGAGGACTCGCCTGGTGGAAAGGTGTGCATGCCGGAAGGGTATGCCGCCGATGGATCGAAGGTCGAGGTCAGTGGCAATGGAGAGGGTAAGGCATGAAGACTTCGGATCGATACTAGCAGGGCGACGGAATGTTTTGCGCCTTGGTGTCAAGGGTGATCGTGCACATTACATCGACGGAATCGAAGCTACAGCTGCAGTGTGTGCTTTGCCGTACACCTCAAATCACGCCGTCCGATTCACATTTTCCAGTGACCTTGCTGATGGCTTGTCACATGTTCTTGCACTCTGTGATGGTGTCAGATGTTTTGAATTCGAAAAACTCGTAGGAATTGCTTACTAAGAATCCGCTTTCGATCTTTAGTCGATATGCTAAGACTACGGCTTTCCCAAATTTGGATGCCGCGATGTAATGTATACACATCGATGTTGTGACCAGGCTCGTCACATCACCGCAGATCCACCACGTTCATCAGCTTCCCACTGCCCTCATTCACTGAAGATTCTCAAACCTGACGGACTTGATCCTCACACGCCCGATTAGACCCAAGTCTATATGTTGTGGCAGCATCGGGCGCTTCATCCATAGGTTATCTAGAACATGCGGTCCAGCATGCCTACTCCCGTGCGGCGCAACCGGATCTTCTGACTCTTCCATCGCCTGTAAAAACTCGTCGCCTCGGAGCGTTCGTCGGCAAAACTAGGATTCTGGTGGAGTTCTCATATGAAAAACACGTCTATACCAACTTATGGAAAGCGGATTCGACCAACCAGATCCCCCAGATCTTGTACAGCAGTTCTACGGACTTAACTACGGACTTCGTTTAGGGGATTCTCTCGTGTTAGCACCGCCTGGAGTCCTAAAATTGAAATAGGATGTATCGCCTTGGCTGCAATTCTCCATACGTCCGGTCTAGAGACGAAGGCCCAAGCTGAACACTGGTTTCTAACATCATCCGAACACAGAACAAAGCGAAGAGTCGTCACGTCAAGCATCGAAAGTTCGACACGTTCAGGATGGGTTTCATCAACATCTACAACGCAGTCTCCTCCGCAGCTCCCTATCTCGTATTTTCTCTTCTCTCCTACTTCATCTTTTAGGGCTGGAAGGCATGCCGATCTCCTCTATCCCAACTACCAGGTCCTTGGTATGCCCCATTCACAAGCATTCATCTCATGCTTGGCTTCGCTCGCGGCACGGTATGGCGGATGGTCGAGAAAGGACATGTCAAGTATGGTCCTTTGGACGCCTGAAAGTTGGCATCGCTATGCGCAACGTTAAGCTCCTCCTCAATTTCCTCGCTTGGTGGCACAATCGTGTGAAACTTTCGAAAATACGGCACAAGAGTCTGCCAATCCCAGCCTTCCCTTTTCTCGCCTAACTCCGCCCAAGCATCAATCTCGTTGCACCACGGACATATGAGTGCAAACAAGTTGATGGCGCTCGTACCGCCTGAAAGGCGTCTACGAGGGTACTTGATGATCCTGTTGTTCAAGCCGAACTCTGGCTGAGAAGCATAGAGCTACCGATATTGCCAGTCAAAGTCAGGATTGGACCAGGCGTATACAAATTTCTCTTTGTTGCTAAGGTAGAAGCCCAATTTCGACGACTCGCACCCCAAGTAGACTTGTGCTTTCCAATTCCAACACCAACACCAAACTTTCTTGTTGTTAGTCACTGGGATCCAGAATCCCGGATTCTACACCTCGATTAAGCGAGATGGCGGACGGCGGTGATCCCTGAAAACGGGATCTAACTAGTCAAAGCTAGCGTACTGCCTAAAGGAGTTATCCGTACCTTTAAAAAGTTTACGTCTAACGCTTTCAAGCTAGCTGCCGTTTACGGGGATTACCCCCGTCCGCCATCTCGCTTAATCGAGGTGTACTAGGCAACTATGTAGTGGATTTGACCAACTACCCACTGGCTAAATAGCTACTACGCAATTGCCGAGAAGCAATTGCCGATAAGCATTTGCCCCTACGGCAAATGTCCTACCCGTCCTACCTACCTACCTACCTACCGGGCTCCCCTACTACACTAGGCCCTCCGTGGGTAATGCCAGTGCCATCCGTTGTGGTTTCGAATTTTCGTTCCAAGAAGGAGAGTTTGGTGGCGTAGGGGTCTTTTGCTTGCACAGCGTTACAGCGTAGCAACGCGCACGTACAAATTTCTGGTCTGTTCACGGCCTTCCCGCAGACGTTGCAAGCCGTCCAACCTTGCTACTGGGGTTCAAAACACACCACTTTGAACAACGAAGGGATATGCATGCTATAGCAGTCGGCCCGAAATCTATAGGAGTCGGGCATCCTGTTCGCTCTCTCCCCTATTATTTAAGCTGCTAACCGCGAGAGCTGTTGGCCCGCATTTAGCAAGAAACTACGTACAAGTCTGCTTAAGGTCCTTCGTATACACCTACCTACATCCAATCCGTACTTTCGAAAACAAGGATCAAGCTTTATTCGAAACGATGAAGTTCTTCGCGTTCCTCCTCACCACCATTATTACGGCTAGGTCGGCGTATGCTGGGTATTGCAACTACGGCACCGCAGGGAATGGAGGCTGTGAAGCTAACGGGAAACATACGTACTGCGTAAGTGTTGCTTCTTAACTCGAGAAGATCGCTACGAGGCGCGTCTGGTTTTAGTATATAGACTAATAGCGGTATGGATACAACAGTGCGCCGAAGACAACATGTACAGCAGCGATTTTCCTATATACCGCCAATACTCTGTAGCATCTCTAAACCCTCATAAAGGCACAGATTGCACTTCTGGAAAGAGTCAGGGTTTTGTTGCTTGTGCTTAGGTCGGTCTTACGGTATAGCCTGGATCGCAGGAGGTCGATGGGATCCGGTTGCTGGATCGAAGGAAGCGGCTTGGTTTGATTACGATTCATTACGGCGGGGGATAATTCAACATATGTTGTTCTGTAACATGGTCGTCCATTGTGACAGCCTTGTCCGACATGTCCTCTTCGCTAGCATTCTCGTTACGGCTTTCTAATAGCAGTGAAGATTCCTCGTCCGACGTGTTATCCATTATAACTTCCTCGTCTGACATGTCTTCGTCGCTAGCACTCTCGGTGCGGCTCGAAGTTAATGGCGAATATTGCCCGTAAGGTCGTCCATGGTGACTACCTCGCCCCTTTCACTAGTCTTCTCTGTTGACCGCGCCGTAAGATCTTATTGGCTCTGGTATGAAGGATCTCGGGTTGGCACGCTACTGCAGGACCTGCCTCCGAGATCCGAATTTCTAGAGAATTAGAAGGCACAAGTATCCAGAAAGCTATATCCAACAATCGTCAATTCTGCGCTGATGGCCTGAAGATACTTGGAGAGAGGGGGAGAGCGGACGGGATTGCTTGTTCCCAGCTACCTGTGGCCGTATGTGATTGGTAATGTTATTTCAGCGCCATATAGCTTGCATCTGTCTCATCAAGCCAGCTTTGCATTGCCAAGACCTTCGCTAGTCGATGTCTTCCAGTTCCGATCCTTCGCTAACTCCATAATTCTCCGGCACCAGAACACCGACCAAGCAAGTTTGCAGCATGTTGTCCCAATTCACCCACGGATGCACATCCATGAACAGCTTAGTACCGTCTCTGCCAGCGGCCTTCATGAGTTCCGTCTCTCCACCAGGATGAAAAGGCAGGTAAGGTGTAATATTGTATACTTTGCCTTGCCAGCTGCTCCAGGCGGGCCTGCCTTTCCTTCCAGTCATCTTCTTGAGCTCGCTTGGTGTCACGCGCTGAAAGCTTGGAACTCCTGAGAGATTGCCGCTACGAGTAAGCGCTGCCCAGTCCATTGGGGAGTGGCCAGGCTTGAGAAGAACTTTACCCCGCGGATTTGGAGTTGGCACTGCTGTGCCGTTGGGAGAGAGTCCCCCATTGAAGCGCTGCTGGCTATTTGCAGGAGGGCCGCGGTTAGGCAGCGGACCTGTTGTTGGGACACGAAGGCCTGTACCGGGACTCTGTCTTGCCGTTGGCACTGCAGGTCGAGATGGAGGCGGCATCAGGCCTGAGCTAAGCTTCGATGCTGGCTTTAGGGGAGGCGGCATAGCTGACACTCTTGGTGCGCTATTGGCAGCTGGAAAGGAAGATACAGGAGGTGGCGGCATGGCCTTTGCTGAAACCTCGTCCTCGTTCAAAGTGAAAGATGGCACAGTCTTCTCTGGCACAGTCGGTCCTGCTTTCGGTGTGCTGTCACCTTCTTCTGTATCTTCATCGTTCTGTGTGACGATGGTTGGTGCTGTTAGGTTCGCATTCTGGTGAGCGTCGTCTTCGGCGGACTTCGCCTCACTTGGCGCGAGCCATGCAGGCAGTATGCTTCTCAGCATGTTTGGCTGTGTACACAGCAGAAAGGCTATTGTGACGACAAAAATGACTATGCTTAGCAATCCCATGTCTTCTATCGTCCTTTCAGCGAATATCCAACATAATCGGCCGGCGTTTGTATTTGCGGCTGGCTTTTGCAATGTGTGCCTTCAAAAGGTGCATCTTCTTCGGCCTCAGATATTCATGCCTTTGGAACTGGTCGTGGTGGGAGTCGTGCGTGAGGCTAGAGAGTAAGATGGAATAGGGAGCAAGTGATGTGGAAGAAGTCGCCATTCTCCGGAACTCTTGGCTTGGCTTGGCGCCACAGCTCGTCATGTTCAGGCGCTGGAAGAGAGGCATTGAATCAGCCGGAAAATATTAGACGCTACAGCAATCATGATCCCCAGAGCAGTACTGGCGCTGGCGCGAACACTCCGCCAATCCTCCTCCACACGCACAATACAGACACTCTCACGACCGCGACCGCGTCTCTTGGCGACATCCAACCCGCGACGCGCAACACACATCGCACCACAGCTCACAAGATGGAAGTCTTCGAAAAGCGGCGTCGATGAGAAAATCGAGGAAATCACCGAGCTATACGCCACAGCACGAGACGAGTTCGAGATCGCCATGGAAGAGACGGAGAAATTCAGTGTGTATGCCGAAGATGATAGGAACGCTGCGAGGGAGGAATTGACCAAGGTGCAAGAGGCCTACAAGGCTGCTTTGGAAGATCCGAAACATGGAGAGGAGGTGAAGAGGAGGATTGGGCAGAGGATTAAAGAGTTGGAGCAGGGTGTGGCGGCCATGGAGGAATTGGCTCAGAATCAAGATTGAGCATATCTCGGACTTATGAAATTTCGACGAAAAATTGCTACGGCCGATGTGTGAGCTGGTTTGGAAGGTGTTACGTGCAAAGTCGCAAGCTTCGCAAGGCATCGCGCCTTCGCGCACCGGCATAGAGTCCTTTGCGGTGTATGGTCTTGATATACGCACCTTGCGAGAGCTTGCTTAAAGCTCTCATCTACCGCAGAGTCGCAGGCTTAGGCTTGCGAGACGGTAGCGGGTCAGCGGTGAAAGCAGAATCTAGCAGATCTGGTGTATGTACGCAGCTACTGGCGGGTAGCTTTGTGGTTGCATCTACCCTGGAGTGCCTTGCAGCTTGTGAGGATGTGGATATGTATATAGCAGAGCCCGTGAGAAGACTCATTAGGCATCTAGTCATGTGAATCATCGTCATGAGACCGAAGCCGAAGGGTTCATTCATTAGCTTCACATGCACGGTTATCCTCGGTCTTGGGCAGAGACACATGCTGAGGTCTGTGCGCTGCGTCGACACATAAAACTTGACTGAGCTTCATAATTCTCTTCTTTGACACAACCTCCACATCCCTCCTCCACATCCCTTCCATCTATACTCAAGTCTTCAAAGAACCTGGTGTAGGAGGAGGGGGTGAAGGACATGAGCACTCAAGAAACCGATGCTGTTCTGTCCAGGCTGCCGACGAGCATATAGCCATCCTGCATCCAATTTTCAACACCAAAAGACCCAAAAATTCAGCAGGAGGAAGGAAGACGACATCCTATTTGCAAGATGGCGTTATGTCTAGATTAGTGGTGAGCTACATTAAGATGCCTCAACTCAATCCTCAATCAATTTCAAGAGGAACCTGCTTTTGATACGGCGCACCCGATCCATAACCTCCCACGAAATAGTCCGAACTCTGACTCGTCGGTTCAGGCGGCTGAGGCCACTCATCCAAGACCTTCGGCTTACCGGTGAGCGTAAAGTTCACATATGCCATGGGCTGCACGTCCACAAGCAAAGCGTAAGAACCTGGGAAGAGGACCGTGTTGCCCTTATCGTCAACTCTTGATAGACTTCCGAGAGTCAGATTCAAAGCTGCGGTTTGTGTGGAGCCGGCGGTGATATTATGCAGTCTTTGATATGACACGAGCCTCTTGTTAGGACATGGCTCTGGGCCATGAGCACCAGTGAGGAAGCCAAGAGTGACATAGTCGCTGGTGACCGAGCCGGTATTGGTGACGTCGATCGAGAACGTCTTGAATGGACAACGATCAAGATACGATTCTGTGCAGTCGGATGCGAGAGAATCGATACTGTAAGTTGTGTCGCTTGACTCCGCGTCTGGGATTGTCGCCGTGAAATTCGTGTAGTGCAAGCCGTAGCCAAATTCGAAGACTGGTTCTTCATTCAACCAGATGTAGGTACGGCCTGGACTTCCAGATGTTGCGTTAGGGCGCAGTGATGTGTCAGTCATAGGAACCTTTGATATATAATCGGCGCGGTATTGAGTTATTGGGAGGCGACCAGCTGGTGCAGAAATTCCTTGGAGAATATCGAAGATCGCCTTTCCGCCATCCTGGCCAGGATATCCACCCCAAAGCAATGCCCTGATGTTTGGATTTTTGACGAGAGGCGAGCTGTCCAAAGATCCTCCACCCATCTGTACAACGATCGTTGGCTTGTCATAGTAGTCTGCAAGCTGGCCGATGACGTCCAACTGTGGTCCAGACCAGGCGATACTAACACGGTCCTTCTCTTCAGCCTCAACACGCTCATCCATACCTCCGATGTAGATGATTACATCTGATTTATTTGCCGCTGACCAAATAGGGCGCCATGTGTATGTAGTCGGATCTGACTGCCCGCCTGGACCTTGGACGTATGTCACTTCTGCGCCGGTCTGCTGTGCTGCCCAAAGAGGTGAGTGAAAGTAGGGAGGAATTCCATGATAGTTTCCAAGCATCTGATCTGTTGCATTCGCCCAATCACCAATCAGTGCAATCTTGGTTCCATTTGTGATTTGAAGTGGTAGGATACCGTCATTCTTGAGCAGCGTGATCCCGGAAGTAGCTGCCTTCAGAGCAAGGTCTTGGGCGTAGGGAGTTGAGACATCGTTCCAGGTCAAATTCCTGTAGGGAACTCGATCGCCATCGAAGTAGCCGAGTCGAATCAAGGAACCGTACTGGCGGATCAAGGAGGTATCAACATCAGTCTCATTAATCAGTCCCTGCTCATACGCCCTTGGCAGATGCTCCTGGTAGTAAGTGCCACAGTTGATGTCGGTTCCGGCTTTCAGGGAAATCGCTGCGGCTTCTTCGCGAGATGAAGCATAGTTATGGTAAAGGAAAACATTCTGAACGGAATCGCAATCGCTCGTCACCCACTGCTCTTCTGCAGTCCAATTCCAGTGTTCGCGCAGAACAGTTTGGAGAAGGTATGGATCAGCACAGGTGGGAACACCGTTCAGCGAGTTGTAGCTGCCTGTGTCTCACGTCAGCATCATCTGAGTGATGTTGCACGTCTCCGGCAGAGCCTTACACATGAAAGCGCCAACATTGGAGTCGCGAGCACACGAACGGAAAGGTGGCATGTAGTATTCGACAAGATCTTGCGAGTTGATATGAGCGTCCAATTGATAGCGGAAGTTGCCATTCCAGTTTTCGACGTCGTAAGCAACGAAATGCTTGCACGTAGCAACAACCTTTTTGTATGAAGGATTGTCGCCTTGCAAACCCCGGATCAAGGAGTGAACGTAGCTTGATAGATGATACGGGTCCTCTCCTGGCGTCTCTTGGCCCCGACCCCATCTTGGGTCCTTGAACGGGTTCTTTGGAAGGATTAGCCCATGACTGGTCGCAGAAGAATACGGCGGCCGTTGCTCACAATGTTCGGAGTCCAAAAGTCTAGTCCCGCTCTGTCGTCGTTGCTGAAGGCTCTAGCTTCAGTACTGATGACCGAGGCGACATCATGGATGAGTTGATCGTCAAATGCAGCACCCATGAGGATGGGCTGAGGGAATGAGGTAGCATAACGAAACTCTCCAGAGACCGAGAAATTGACACCAGGAGACGAGGCCACGCCATGTAGTGCTTCTTGCCACCATTCGTACGGGAGAAGTCCTAGGCGTGGCACCCCGGGCGATGTCGAGCCTGTGTTGTTGATCTTCTCGGCCAAGGTGAATTCTGCTATCAGTGCCTTCGCCCTGGTCAGCGGATCTAGACCAAGGTCAGCGGGGGTCGAAGTTCTGGCGTAGAACATGATTACCGGCGGCCGTGTCACAGACGGTGTTGTTTTTCAGAGGTCCATTGGTGCAATCTGGAAAGCCTCTGCCGTGTAGCTGAGCATGTGCTCCAGCAGCAAGCGCCAGCAGCGAGGCCGCGATGATACTCGCCATTCTCAAGGACAGCCGCGTGTCTCCCTCTCGCTGCTCCAGCAGGTCTCGATGTCGGCTGTATACTGCTCTCCGCGGCGGAGTCGACAAGGCTGAGTACTGATAACAATGCCCCAGAAGAATAATGACCGGGAGAGAAGCCACAGTCGAGGCGCCTTCAGCCGTGAAAGCTGCCAGCGACCAGAAAGAACCTGATTCAACACTTCATCTCGCCAGCCTCCTTTGACATACGCCGACATCCCGCCAGGCGTGGAGTCTTGGAAAGAGCCGCACAACGATGCCGTCGTGGTATATAGAGTAGTCACGCAGAGCATTGATCATGCCAATGCCATACTCGGGCCGACATTCAGGCTAATTGCACTCACACGCCTTCGCGTGGCGTGCAACGCTGCTCCAGCCTCCCCATGCTGCTCCACAAACCCACAGCTCTAGATAGAATAGACTGGAGAACCTAGTCCAAAGGATTCACGTTACGTTCCAGAGCACATGTTACTCTCTAGTGCTCCGATGGCGTCTCAGTGTATAACAGAGCAGGCCTTTACCCGGACGTCCTGCATGAATTCACTGTGTATATGCCACATGGCGAGAGAGATGTATACGCGAAGAGGTAGGGATATCTAGCTTGTGCAGAACAAGTAAAACAATAGCACTGGACATACATCGAACTTCTGGACATCAGCTCTCACTTCCCCGCTCATTTCTTTCCTCGAGACTGACTTCCCCCAGAACCAGACTTGGCAATATGGCTCCCGTCGGAGGAGCATCACAGTTTGAAGCTGCTCTTCACCGACGGCAGCAGCTGCAAGGCTCGTCTGGACCAGCTGCTCTGCTAAAGAACGTGAGAGTCTTCGGCATTGCATGCTTCGCCTGTCTTGGAGGTCTTCTCTATGGTCGGTGCTCAGGATCCGCAGTGTCTGATCAGGAATAAAGTCTACTGACATAACACAGGCTACAACCAGGGTGTCTTTTTCTGGAGTTCTCACTATGACCTCTTTCGACCGTGAGTCGCGTCCACGAGCGAAACAATATGCGATATGGCATGCTAAGGAAGACTAGGGCACATGGGAGTCTGGGTTCGGAACTCAACCAAAAAGGTAAGGAAGAAGAGTGCTGTCTTCTTTCATCACATATTGACACGCTTAATTCAACAGGGCTGGTTGACTTCGATCCTCGAACTTGGCGCCTGGGTCGGATGCTTGTACAGCGGCTTCCTAGCCGAGATCCTTTCACGAAAGTACGCAATCTTGGTCAATACTGCGATCTTCATCATCGGCGTGGTCGTACAGTGCACCGCGATCACCGGTGCAGGAGCCAGCGCCATTCTTGGTGGTCGTTTCGTCACTGGTATGGGAGTTGGATCTCTGTCGATGATTGTGCCCATGTATAACGCAGAGGTGGCTCCACCTGAGGTGCGAGGTGCTCTTGTTGGTCTGCAACAGCTCGCCATCACAACCGGAATCATGATCGCGTTCTGGATCGATTATGGCACGAACTACATCGGAGGCACGGGCAGAGGTCAACACGATGCTGCCTGGCTCGTCCCACTTTGCCTACAGCTTGCGCCTGCAGTCTTACTCGGAGCAGGAATGGTACGTAACCTTGCCAGATGGGATTTTCACCGTGCTGATTTGACCACACAGGCCTTCATGCCTTTCTCACCAAGATGGCTCGTGCACCATGATCGCGAAGTCGAAGCAAGGAAAACACTAGCAAGTCTGCGAGATCTACCGCAAGACCATGAATTGATCGAGCTCGAGTTTCTGGAGATCAAAGCACAGTCACTGTTCGAGAAACGCTCCACAGCCGTATGCTTTCCCGAGCTTGCCGATGGTTCTGCTTGGAGTACCATCAAGCTCCAGTTCATTGCCGTCGGTTCACTCTTCAAAACCATGCCGATGTTCAGACGTGTTGCTTTGGCGACGGTAACAATGTTCTTCCAGCAGGTATGTCTACACACCAACCGAACCGGCATTCACATAAATATGCTTCACGTAGTTGCTCGCAAGAAAGAAGGCTCCTCACTAACGCAATCTCAGTGGACGGGCATCAACGCAATTTTATATTACGCTCCACAAATCTTCAAGGGACTGGGACTGTCCTCGAATACCACTTCACTCCTCGCGACAGGCGTTGTCGGTATTGCAATGTGGCTCGCTACCTTTCCAACAGGTATGCATACTTATAACTAACCAACCTCAACCCATCATTCAAAACGCTAACATATACTCCAGTCCGCAAACCAATCCTCATCAGTAAGTACATGTAGTTCACCCTCAAATCCCCTCCACCACCATCTAATCCATCTTTCCATCCCCAGGCGGAGCAATCGGAATGGCAACCTGCCACATGATCGTCGCAGTCATCACCGCCAAAAACCAAGACTCCTGGTCCACGCACTCCGCAGCCGGCTGGGCCGCCGTAGCCATGGTCTGGCTTTTTGTGGTATTCTTCGGCTACTCCTGGGGCCCCTGCGCATGGATCGTAATCGCAGAAATCTGGCCGATAAGTCAAAGACCGTATGGAATTGCTTTGGGAGCGAGTTCCAATTGGTTAAATAATTTTATCGTAAGTAAGCCCACCATCGACCAAAAAAAAACATCCTTCATCTATCTAATAAATTCTAATTGATTTTTCTTTTCAGGTCGGTCAAGTTACACCAGATATGCTCACCAGTATGACTTACGGCACATATCTGTTCTTCGGAATTTTAACGTTTATGGGCGCGGGATTTATTTTTCTCTTTTTTCCCGAGACTAAGAAGTTGAGTTTGGAAGAGATGGATGTTTTGTTTGGGTCTGCGGGTTTCGCGGCGGCGGATGAGGGGAGGATGAGAGAAATAAGTCGTGAGGTTGGGTTGGAGGAGGTGGTGCGTGGTGGTGGTGGTGGTGGTGGTGGTGGGAGTGTGAGTGGAGAAGGTAGAGCTGATGATGAGAAGGAGAAGAGTTGGGCGAAGTATAAGGAGGTTGAGGAGATCTGATTACGACATCCTGCAATGGGTTTGAATTTTTCGACTGTGACTTGTAGAGGATTTGACAGCACTACTATACTACATCATTATGATCATCATTATTACCCCCCAAACGGCACCTCATCAACCTCACAAATCGTATCCTTCGGCGGTAATTCCCCCGTCAGAAAATCCCTCTTCACCCACCTCTCCGTACATGCACTCTTCGCAGCAAGACTACAATGTCCCGGCGTATCCACGCTTAACTAGAACTCCCGCCCCCTCATACCCCTCCGCCATCAACTTCGCATTCCCCAAAGGCGTACCCGGATCCGCAGTGTTCCCAATCGAAAGCAAAGGATGACTCGTGTCAGCTTCAAAAGGAGCCGTAAATCTCATCTTCGCTCGAAATAGCGGAAATGTATACAACTCAAAGCGAATTTTCCGTCCACATATCTCCAATCGAAGGCGAAATCTGGTCCAATTTCCTCCAATACTTTTTTTTTTTTCAAAACTTCGTCGCGACCGCCAGGCTTATTGTGGCTTCTGTAGTATCATTCCAGTAGTCCATGGGCAGTTCCAATCGTGGCGCATTGATATCCACCAAGCTCAGCGTAGCATCGAGCATATTCCAATGACTGTGTCGTAGGTGCAGTACTCCAATCAAATTTGCTTTTCTGCGAGACTTTTTGAGAACGATGGTGACCGAAATGGATCAGTTATTGACCGGTTGTGCCGAGAAGTGCCATGAAGATGAAGCCATGTGTTGCACTGCGTTGCTTTTTTGCGGCCGCCCATCGCGGCGCTCCATCTGGCTGCTTCTCCATTGTAACGTTCGTGCCAGTGCGTTGCAAGGCGATGGCGCGACTCACGTCTTTGGTAGAGACAGACTATGCGTTGGCGTAATGATCGGAGCCTAGCAAGCCAAGCTCACAGGCATACAGTGGGACAGACAGGGCATGCGGAGGGCAGGGCAGCTCAATGTACATATGTTCAACATGCACCTTCTCGAAACGGACCCGAACTCCGAATCGGAGCTGCCAAGGCCGGAGCTTCGGATTGGCTTGCCCTCGAACTCTCAACGACTTTGAAACGGACATGCTCCCTCGTCCTTTGATAGATTCGTTGGAATTGGAAAGTAGATCAATGACATTGCCACGTCATGGCTGTTACAAGAAATGCTTCACCTGTTAGTCAATACGCCTCCGAAAATGCCTGTCCGTACAATGCGTTAGAAGTGCCATGTATTCAACCACATACATTATCGCCCCGTATGGCGACACAATATTCTTGATTTCTCGAAGTTTTGTTGCCAAGTCGGCATCTCTACGACAGACTGTGGCTGCAATCAGTCTTGCCAATCCCAGACGGTCTTCAAAAATTGATGCATGTCGACTCGTTTCTGCATCATGTCCACCATCCAAGGGTGCTTGAGGATGTGCCAAGGTGTCGCTCGGCGGTTGGAGTCCTTTTCCAAGCTGGGGAGCACTAGTTAGCAATGTATAATGATGCTACGCGCCCAACTTCGAACTTACCAGCATTCGATAAAGTACTTGAAGTTAGCACTCCACTTCAAGCCATTCTCAGGCTCATCCTTGAGCTTGGGTATGGGTTGCCGCACGATATAGGTGAGCAGATCGATCAATCCTGCTCGTGGATTCATTTCTGTGCCATCGGCAGGGAATGGGAAACGATGCTGAGCCACCTCCAAGAGTGTCACGCCTAAGCTCCAAACATCACTAGTGATTGTGTAGCTTTGGCCAGTGATTCGTTCGGGTGCCATGTAGTAGCTGGTGCCAATGAACGTGTTTGCATCACCCTTGGTGCCGAACTCGCCACTGACCCCAAAGTCACAAAGCTTGACCTCGCCTTGTCGCGTGAGAAGAATGTTGGATGGCTTGATGTCGCGGTGAATAATGCGGTGGCCGTGCAGATACGTTAGCCCGTTCAACACGCCCTCGGCCACCTTGCCAAGCACTTTTTCACCAGTCCGACCTCCAAGCTTCTTGACTTCGCGGTATATGCTGTCGAGGGAGCCGCCCTCGCAAAATTCCATGCTGATGCCTATGGTGCCTGCAGTATCGTCCATGAAAGCGCCGTAGTATTGGCAGATGTGTGCAGATGCGCACGACTTGTTGAAGGACAATTCTCGCACAATCTGCTTCTTGACGTCTGGGTTCGGGTCGGTGGTGATAATCTTCAGAACCTGTCAGCCTGAATCATCTCGTCCGCATCCCGATGGCCTGCCTACCTTTAATGCAAACACCGTCTTCCCCTCTTTCAGGATACAGCGCGTCACGGCGCCGCCTGCACCTTCACCCAGACTTCCCAGCTCCACGATTCTGCCCTCCTTCTTTGCTGCCTTCCAACCCGAATCATCCAAATCCTCCACATCGAGTGGTCTTCCCTTCTCCAGACTCAACTTCTCCAAATCAGGTAGCAGTGCTTGCTGGCTGGGATCGCGGGTCATCTCAACTCCCGACGTGGCTGAACTGCTGCTGTAGGCCGAAGAGGGATCTTTCAGCATGTCAGCGAAGTTGAGCGCCGATATCGAGGAGGTCGTTGAGACTGATCCATTCTGGGTGGTATTTGCTCCAAAACTGTTGGACCTACTGTGCATAGACTCTCCACTGCTGTCGCCGCTGGCGGAGGCGCCCGGCATTTGCAGTGGAGGCAGTTTCCTCTTGCCCTGAGCATTCTCGTGGGGTGTATGTGACGTGCCCATGGGAGTGGCTAGACTCAGCTTCGGTGGCTGCTGCCTTTGCGGGATGGAGAGTGGTGGGATTGCGGAGTTTTCTGACATGGGTGGTGCAGCAGCGCTGTTCACTGGGCGCTGGTGGGGTGACGCAGGTATGGCGAGGCCGAGTCGTGGCACCTTGGGAACGCTCTGCTGGCGACCCGCGCCGGGGACGGGCGGGCGTAGAAGAGGTGCAGGAGAAGCCATGTTGGAGCGATCGGCTGCGGGGTGGAGCGAGGGAGTGTTGTTTTCCGCCACGGTGGGCGACGGTGGGCTCGGCTGACGGCTGTCGAAGAGGAGCACGATGCCCTCTTGACAGCCTGAGTGCGGGCGTGCGGACTGTAGAGATGGGGGGAAGGTCGGCGGGCCAGTTTGGCTGAGTCGTGCGTGCGCTCAGGAGTGTATGGGTCTGGTATGGATCACTGATGGGTGATGCCTTCTCCGACCTCGTCTTCTCTCGCAGTGACGTTGATATGCAGCAGCTGGCGGCGGAGGTGAAACGGGGTGGGTAAAAGGGCGGTCTCGCGTGAAGGGCGAAGGACTGCGGCAGTCTATGTATATTGTGTCGTGCGGTGCTGGGGTTGCGGGTCTCGGTGACAATGCTTGTATAAGCGAATGCTTCTTGCAGGCGAACGATGCTGACTCCCGGTGCTGTGGTGTGTGCGCAAGCGGAATCCAAGAGGGCGATGTGTGGGTATGTTGGTCGAATGTCAGAGGATTCACAGGACAGGCAGCCGTCACTCCAGCAGCCAGCTCGGCGGCTGAGGCACCACTCCACACTCCAGCTGCTCTGCTCAGCGCGCGTTCACCTCACCACCTACAAGCAACAAGCACCACGCAGACGACTGCGCTCTCGCCTCGTGCCTAGCGCAGCCCCTAATCAATCGAGCCGTGCCGCGCCGTGCAGGCCGCCCAAGTCGAGTCGATCAACACCCGCCAGACCCTTCTCTGTTTCCCGACGATGTTCTGCTCGTTGTATGGTTTGGTGTGGGTGTGGGCGTGGTAGCGCGGCAGGAACAAGGATACAGGAAACACAGGTGCGTTGTGCTGTCGTGCCCTCGCAGTTTCAGCGTCAGAGCGGTGGCAGGATTTCAGGATTTCACTGGGGAGCCGAGGCGAGGCGAGGCGAGGCGGGGGCTGCAAATGACAGTAGTAGTGTCCCAAGTGTTGCGTTGTTGGCGGTTGGCTTTGCACTGCGAGCTGCGAGCTGCGAGCTGCTCGTAGCGCGCCGATGAGACGGGCGCTTGTTGGCGAAAGCGAGCGTCTCAGAAGTACGGGAGTCCTGATAAAATAATACAAAGTCACCCCTCCGGCCACTCCTCCGGCGGCTCCGGCTCCGGCATTCGATTTGCCATGTTCTGCCAGCACCTCACCCTGCTTTAGCCATTGCTTGGCGCTTCATTCAACTCCTACGCACATCAGGCCGCCCGATGCCCACTGCATACATGTATTATTTCGCGCCTGCTTTCTACCACAATCGTTGCTTCTGTCCTTCTTCATTTTTGGCGTGTCTGCGTACCGTACCTGCCGTGCCGCGCGAAGACAGCGCGTCGCGTCGCCGTCGCTGGACGAGCTGACGTAACGTGACGTCTGCCGTATACGAGCCTTACGAGGCCAGCTTTGGAGCCTGTCTTGTCCATAATCCAATCTCTACATAATCCAAGCGATATTGAACCATAATCCATAAAATTGAATATTATCGATAGGATTATGAGGCGTGTCTTCTGTCTAACGGCTATTTAATAGCCCCTTTCTAAGTGCAATCTTCTTAATCGAATATAGACCTCCGCGGCCTCCGGAGTAGCGCTTTTAGTACTAAATAGGGTATATAGATACGGCTCGATAGCTATTCGATTGGATTAAGGACCGTACGTTGCAATTAAGGCCGAGGGCAGCGTACGGAACGAAAATAGCGCGAGTCGACGTATATATAGTAGTAGTAGGTATAGTTTTCGGGCGTAGGAGAGCTTCGTACGGTATACGTTTCTCGGTAGTAGGCAGTAGTCGAGGTTCTTACTATAATTATTAGCAATAATAGACGCTCTCGACCGCTAGCAAATCGTTAAGCGTAACGTTATCTTTACCTTCGGAATACTAGCGATACTATTATACTAAATAGCCGCTTCTTCGCAGCCTAGTATACGTACCCTATACCTAGAAGATAGCAAAGGCGAGGCCGTTACTACTAGTCTATTAGTAGAAGATACTATACGACGATTGTATAGATATATACGCTTCTATCTAGACGCGTTTATATACCTCTTTTAGCTTATTTTGCTATACCTACGGCGTAGAAGATATATTAGTAAAGAATAGAAGGTGCTAATATTCTTATACGCTTTTGTAACTAACAGCTATACTCGAGACCTAGCCGAAGACTTCTATTACTTAGTCGATAAGTATAGTCGTATAATCTATAAGGTTATAGCTACTATATTAGAGGTATATCTAGTAATCGTTACTCGAGCCGATAAAGACGATAGTTTAGCGGTAAAGGCAAAGGGTCGGAAATACTAGCCTTAGTTTAAGGACGTAGTTAGTACGTTAGATAGCTCTTATATACTAGTATACGTACTAGTTAATTAATAAGCGGCCTTCCGCAGTCGTAAAGGAACACTATTATAGAATGTATTAGCGGTAGTAGACTATAATATAAGGTTTACTTTTATTCTAGCTAGATAGAAAGGCTCCGCCTACAATAGTCGTATACTTAATAACGCTCGCTCGCACTATAGATTTAACGCGCTAGAAGGACGATATTATCTCGCGGATGCTAGCTATCTAAATAGCGCTCCTTATATAGTCCTATATAGAGGCGTACGATACTATTTGCGAGAGTAGTACCTAGCTATAATGCGGCCGGCGGACTATAAAGAGTTATTTAACCTTCGCTATAGTTCCCTTCGTAACGTTATCGAGCGGACCTTTAGTATAATAAAGCGTCGCTTCTATATATTCGAGAGTGCGCCGTAGTATAGTATTCGCGCTTAAATAGCTATAGTATACGTTGCTACTACCCTCTATAATGTCCTCTAAGAGATAGGCGCGAAGGCGATAGATACCTTCGAGTTAGAGGCTAACGAGACTAACGATAGGCTATTCGATAATGCCGCCGCCGCTACGGAAGAAGATAATAGTATTAAAGGACCGATAGATAGGCAAAGAGATACTATTGCAATAGAGATATAGCGGGTATACTAATAGTACCTATAGGATAAGGAAGATAAGGCAATATTGTCTTAGTTATAAAACTAGTAGATAGGCGGGGCTTCTTTATTCGATAGAAATATTAAGAATCTTAGTTATTATTAGATTATAGCTGTTTTGTATAGGATTTCTTATATCGGTAGTGCAATGCTCGACTTCCTACTATCCTTAGAAAACTTATTTGCTATAACTTATAGCTAAGAAATACAGTTTTATACTAGAATCCTAGATACTACTAAAACTGTACTAAAAGCTATCGATCTAAAGATATTAAAAAAAAGCTATGTTCGAGAATAGCTAACTAATCTAACACTTCGGTATTCTAGCTTAGGATAACAATTTAAACTCCTCTAAATACTTATCTACTAACGCTATCGATATAGCCTACTACGTATCTAGAGGTACGCCGAGAAAGATATTAACTATATTACCGTCGTCCGCCGTCGTTATCTTACGATACAATAGACGCTTTTGCCTTAAGGTTAGGTCCTAAAGCTCCTTATATCCTACGACGAAGTCCGCCGAGAAAACTAGCCGCGATAACGCTCGTCCTACCGGTAGTAGCGTTACTATTATCTCTGCCGTACGATATATTATAGTAATAATTGTTAGGGCTAAAGAGGCTATACGTAATTAGCATGTAACTAGGCCGAGTAAAGCTAGGGTCTCGATGCCTTAGGCAGGGCTTAGCGCTTAGCGTTAGGCTAACTCTCCTACCTTCCTCCCTCTCCTTCTAGATTCTTATCGAATACTACTCGTATCTACTACTACCCTATCTACCTACTAATATACCCTTCTTATATAGTATTCGATCCACCCTTTAAGGGCAGTAGCTAGATAGTCCTTATTTTAAGCTTTTAGCGGTATAGCTACGAATAAGACTAATCTAACTATATTGCGCTCGAAGAACGGGACCTATACGTACTATTCTATCGAAACAACCGTACTAATTATCAAGCAAGGCCTTCTATACGGCCTATTATACTAAGTTAAGCATACTAAGCCGATATCCACTAATTCCGCTATATCCGCATCTTAGGGGCTAATAATACATTATTAGTGTCGCCCCTTATAATAGCTAGTTTATTACGAAACAATAACCGTGCTACCGCTAGTAGCGCTAGTAACGACAACGCTAGTAGCACAGTGCCTGCTAAAGCGCCTCCTACTAAAGTGCCTCCTACTAAAGAGCCTGCCGGAGAGCCTATTAAAGAAGAACCTATAGTTCTAGGTAATAATCTAGAATTGCCTGTCGACGATATTCTTAATAATATTGTTAACCGTCGATATAGCTAACTAGCCTTTAGCCCCTAACTAGTAGGGAGACTCTAAGAAGCCACCTAAAACAGGCTTACTGCCCTACGTTAAGAATAATAGCTGAAGGATAACCTCCTCGAAATTCGCCGCCTTTAGGAGGCCCTAACAACTAACACTAATCCGACAGTAGGGCCTTCCTTACTATCAGTCCTAGTCTAGAAGAAGGATACTAAACTCAAGGACTATACCGTGTTTAATAGCTCTAGTCGAAAGCAATATAACGACTATATTCGTAACTGTAAGCTTAACTAACGAAATGCACTAAGGGCCCTGCTAGACGACTATTCGCTAGTCGTCTATGCTATATAATACATTAATGGAGACCTAAAGCGTACCTAGGATGACCACTTTGACTCCCTTACTAATTAGACCGCTATTTAGTAGCAAAACTACAAGACTATTATGCTAGACACCCTTAGAAACCCTATACTAAGGCAATAACACGCTTAGGACTAATACCTTCGAGCTAAACAAAAGACTAATTAATCGGCTCGCTTATTTAAGGCCTATTTAAAGACCCTCGAAGACGATTTGCTAGCTAAGACCGACTCTATCTAGATTTCCGAAATACGCCCTAAATTGCGATAGGAATTAGTCCTTAAATTAGACCGTCGCCGTATATTCGAACAGACTAATCTAACGCGCATTTAATTCATAGTCGAAGTGGAAACAGCCGAACGGGCTATTTAGCTCTAACAGCGACTAGAATTAAGGATCCGACTAGCTAGTACTAACCGTAGCAACCGTAGTAGCCGCGGAGGAAACCAAGGTTCCTACTAGGACAACAATACTAACAATAGGAATAGTAACGATCGTAGAAGAGGCCGTAGCCGGCGGTTATATAGAGGAGGCCGCGATAGGGGCCGTAGAAGGGGCTCGTATCCCTATAATGCTAACCGCTCGACTAACAATAGCAGTAACAATAGCTACGGCAGTCTACTAACCGGGTTGAAGTGCTTTAATTGTAACAGTACTAGCTATCTACTAGGCTAATGCGACAAACCTAAGGACTAGGCCCGAATCGACCGTACTACCGCTAAGCACTAAAAGTACCTCTTAGTAGCTAACGCTACCCCTATAGGCTAACCTTCGAAAAAAGAGTAAGCGCCGTACTAACTGTTAGCCTCGTGCGGCGTAAGACTATCGACATTATACTAGCTATTATACGTACCTGTCTTATATCCGGGCCCGATACTAACTATAAGACTAAGGTTATACTAGATCTAGGAAATTCAGTTAGCGCCCTTATTAGCTATCGCCTAGCTAAGCAATTAGACCTTCGACAACTGCCTAGGACTAACCTACTAACCCTTGCTTGGTTTAATAACGCTCGGCAATTAACCTATAGGGCCTACTATGTCTATATAGCCCTAAAGGACGACCTCGGCAATAAGCGCCTGCTAAACTTTACTACCTATGCGGTAGATATAGACAGCCTCCTATCTAAGATTGTTATTAGTAACCCTATTCTTAAGTACTATGCTATAGTTATAGACTTGGGCAGTTAATAGTAGCGATTTAGAATCGCTAGGAAAGAGGACATTAAACACATCGATATTAGCGAGTGCCCTAACGATATTAGGGTTCTATTCATCGGCAACCTAACACCTGCCGCAGCTAACCTAATAGTCGACCTATTAGGCGATAACGATAAGCCTATGCCCCCTAATAGCATAGATCCTAATTAGCTTGCTCGTATACCGGAGCCTA